GTAAACGTGTTTGACCCGTTTGGGTCGTTGGGGATAATTTGTAGATCACGCCTAACTAAGTTTCTTTATTGCATGGGGAATAAAAGGTTGGTCATTTGGGACCTTCAATATGCTATATATAAATATTACTACTGTAAGTATAGTATAAATTTGTGGCACACCGCATTAATAGTTCTGAGAAGTACAAATGTGTTGAAAGTATCTCAACATTTCAAATCTTTATTCATCTTTAAACATTATTAACCAAGAGGCTTGAGTTGATTTAGTTGAAGAAACATCAAAATGACTAAGGTACCTCCACCATATATTCACTGCTGTCGGTCTGTTAGTAAGATTAAGTAAAAACTAAGGAATGGATCATCATAAAATTTAGTGGAATGGTACATAATAATCTAAGAAAAAAATTATTAAACTTTGGAAAGAAAAGGTAAATGGAGACAATCAAGATAATTTGAGTTTTTTTTACCCTGGTGTATAAAAGAAGATAATTAAATGGTACATACATGGCCTGCGTATTATTCAGTATACACTGGACAGAGGTACTGTATATATGTGCTCTATGGAGTGTCTACTTTAGTTGTTGAAGCAATATTTTCACTGGGTTTGAACAAAATGAGTACCTGTATTTTGTTTCATCGTTAATTGAACGTCTTTTATTATTGTTTAACTCATTTCCTTTTCTTTCGTATTCTTGAATCTTGATAATAAATAATAAGTATATGATGAAATATGATAGAAATATTAATAAGCAATGATTGATGATTGTGATGATAACCACTTAAAAATTACAGTTCACAAAAACATAAACCAGACATCTATTTGGCCTAGACATGTTTATAGAAATAGAAATTGAGAAGATTAAATTATCTGACCAATAAAATACTCATAACAATAATAATTTCAAACAGTTATTAGATTATCAAGAATCATATTGTATGGAATATGTGGTTTAAGCCTGTAACATGTTTATGTCAGCTTCCTTTTCCTTTATCTTATCTGTCTATGTTGAACTGATGCAAGTACATTGCCATATTAATATCACTCTTTGAATAATGCAAAGTTTATCACTCTTTATTATTTTTTTAAATTATTGATCTTATTGTTATTAATTTTTATGCTGTTGTTATTGATATTGCTATATTTATAATAATACTATTTCGCAACAACAAACTAAGAGAAAATCATGGAATAAAAAATGAACCTAAACTAACACACCGCATACACGACAACCAAGACATCAAAGCACCATTTGCTGGCAATTTAAGACCCTAGATCAAAACTCACAGCGTACTTCAAATGATGGAGGTATCTAGGCTAAACAAAACCAGCATAGAAAAGTATTATAATAATAATAATAATAATAATAATAATTTTTGAACTTATCTCCAGTGGTATTTATAAATAATAATGTTAATGAATGAGGAAAAGTAATAAATTTAGTCACTCAAAATAAATTTTAGTCATTGGCAGCCATTGACTGGGCAATTAATACTTTGCATTTAATACTGTACTCATGATCATTTTTTTTGTTTACATAATTATTAAAATAGGTTAACTTTCTTTTTTTTAATTTTTTTATTTTATTTCAATATCATCCAACAGCGACCAGTGTCGCCCATAACAGGATTGATACATTTAAATATTATTTGAGAGAATATGATCTCTTACCAATTGAACCTAAATTTGAATAGAAAAAAATAAATAATGTCTTATTAATAGTTCAATATTAAAAATAAAATGTGATTTTAATTTAAATAATTAAATCCATTTAGGTTCATTAGTAACATTAAAAGGCAGAAGTTTTCTTTAGTTTGCATCATGTTATAGTAATGTTCATTATTATTTTTCAATGTATATTTCATTCGTATTTATCGTAGTCACTGAATTCAAAGGTAAATATTGACTTGTCATGGGATTAATCCAAGTATGTGTGCATGTAACTTGCATTAGAAAAGCCTCAAGATAGAAAGAACATTTAAACCGAATGTAGGCTAAAGAGATGAACTCAAAGAAGTGTGACAAGCCGGGAAAGATTTACCAACAAATTGCCCCACAAGGTCGTGCACATTAGCTGTGCACTGATGGACACTCGGTTTGAGCACGCTCAAAGCATTTGTCACAGATTACATTGGATCCTGCCAATTGAAACCCTCAGTGTCGGACGAGCATGCAAGTAGCTGCGTTTAGTGAAACATGTCGTTTGACAGTCTGATATCATGGTAGGTTGCAGGGGATTAGACAAGTGTCGTAATCCCTAAGACATCCATGTCGTACAGCTGGAAAAGCTCGTCAACGGGTGACAAGATGCATGAGACCGATTAAACCGCACTGTGCAGTTCAAGACTTTTTACTGACGTGTTCATGCTGTTTTCGATCTTTCACCGGATTAAAACCGACATCCACGGTTTATATATGATTTAGGCAATCAACAATTTCAGAGTTCATCTGATATTTTGGGGCGGTTTGTTTGCTTAGCTGAGCTCTGAATACCGCCCCCCTGACAAATGGCACGAATTGAGTTCGAAGCAGGTCAATTCTTAATACCGTCATTTAATGTCGAATGTTTTTAAAAGTTTCTTTCTCTTTTATTCTACTGTTGATATTTCCTCAGATTGCTTTCATTTTTAAGCATAAAAAAAAGTTTTAAACCCCACAAACTAAACACGGAAATAATATGACAAGGTAAAAAATGTTTACAGTTTAAGGCAATTAACTTTTTTTTCTGTACCATATTGTAAGTTTTCTTAAGTGAAATAAATATTGTTTAAAAAATACATAAAATAGTTTATACCAAAAATGTTATAATAATAATAATAATAATAATTCTGGATTTATATAGTGCCTCCCGTTGACACAACCTCGAAGCGCTTGAACATTATCACCCCCGGATCACTGGATCAAGCACATATGGAACACACACTCAAGCCCCATAGGGGAATTCCATATTATGTTGCAGCTGTATTCAGCGCAGACTGTGTTTGAACCTACCAGGTACCCACTTGTACTCCTGGGTGGAGAGAGACAACCGTAGATAAAGTGCCTTGCCCAATGACACAAGCGACTTGCACAGTGAGAGTTTTGAACCCTCGACATCGAGGTTGGGAGTCCAAACCACATCCGATGCGCCAACCACTTCCACAGGTCCAGGGGTTCTACCATAATATGGTAGAACCCCTATTTATTCATTCATTCATTATATTTTGGAATCCATAATTTGTCCATATATACATAAACAAGAAAAAAGAAATCAGCAAAAGATGTTGAAGTAACCTAAAAAGACATAATTATGCAATAACAAGACATCGTCTATCTCAAAATATGATTCAATTTACAGTACATGTTAGATTCCCGTAGTATTTTTTCAACAACAGTGAAAACTACATTGTTTTTACTCGTATTAATTCTACACATAAATCCATATTTGCTAAGAAATTAATAAAAAGAGAGAATTCTACACTCTATGAACATAGTGCTGGCACTACAATGTCTAGGCTTATGTAGGAGCATTCTGAGGGTTTATTGTAGCAGACTTTGAGAGATCGCAAGGTACTCAAATTATAGTTACACCATGATAGTTAAGGGAACACCTGTATGACCTGGCATTGACCAAACAAAGTGTCCCTGATTAGAGGTATTTTCTCTGGTTTTGGGGTAAAAAAAAGTGTCCACTAATAGGTGTATCCCTTTTAAGGAGTGTCCCAAATGAGTGTTCTACTGTAGTAGTAGTAGTGATGATGAACAGGTTAGAAAGTTAGTACTACTGTACTGTATTTACAAATGTGACATAAATTGTATATCATAGTATATAAACCAATATCTTTAAGATTCTATATTTTTTATTGTCAAATCTTATATTCTTGTTATAATAATAATATAAGACTAGTGCTTCAGGCCTCTAAGTGCTTCATATTATTACCCCCATCCATTGAATCAAGCACATACAGTATAGAACACATACTCAGGTCTCTTGAAAAGTTCCATAACATTTCACCTGTAATCAACACATTTTGTGGTTAAACCTACCAGGTACCCACTTGTACTCCTGGGTGGAGAGAGGCATCCAGAGGTAAAGTGCCTTGCCTAAGGACTCAAGCGAAATGCACAGCGAAGGATTGAACCTCAGACCCAAGGTTGAGAAGCAGAACTGCAAATGCTGCACCAAACTGCTCCTACATAATTGTAAACTTGTTGCACTGGCTGTTCACTTTGCCATCATGGAGGGCAGTGTTCCACTGTAGCACATCACTGTAGAAAGAGGAGTTGATATATACATAAATAAGTCTTTTCACCATGAGTGATAGATAAAAAAAAAATTAATAATAATAATATCTGTAACTGTAACCATGATTTAGGATTCTAGCAAGTACACTTCCCACTTATCAGAGGAATCCCAGAGCTCACACATGGGCAAGGGTGTTCACCTTCCTGTTTTGGTGATCCTGATGGTTACCCAAAATATTTTTAATTGCTCATTAATAAAAGTACAGTATGAAGGCCCGTCCAGACTATCTACAAAAGCATGTGACATGAATAAATTATGGTCATGATGACATCACATCATGACCATATATAGGCACATCATGACTATATATGGGCATACCGTACTTGCGCGAATAAGCGCCCGGGCGCTTAAAATATTTGTTTGCCCTTTTTTTGGGGCGCTTATTCAAACGGGGCACTTATGAAAACAGGAGTGGAAATTGAGGGGGCGCTTATGGAAATATATGAAAATTGAGGGGTTCTTCTGGGAACCTGGAAAATTCAATGGCCGATTTTTGAATGAAAAAGTTATATAAGGACATCCGAAAACCGAAGATTACGAATGGTTCTGGTGCAGAAAAGATAATCGTCCAGAGAGCATGGCTTGTGACAAGAATTCTGTGAGTTTCAACAACAGATGAAATTAGTGGTAAATCAGATACATGTTTCTTTTCTTTCTTTATTTTTTTTCAAATAATTTACATTATTACCTTATGTATTTCTTTGTTTCTATATTTTAGTATCTTTATGGAATCTGATTCAAACACGATTATAAGTAGAATTGCACTGAGAGGGGATGAAGTACCAATATCTGAACAGAACTTTGCACAGGTTAGTGAAAAAGAACAAATAAGTTACAAAAAATATATTAAGTACCCTACTAATCAGACAACTTCGGAACCAAAATAAAGTGTCCCCTTAAGGGTCTCCCCTGAATGGGGGTGACCATAGTGTTAGAAGATGTACTTTTTCTCAATTTGCAGCCTAAAAGTGTCCCAAATGAAGGGTTTTTCTGTATGTGATTTCATGGTGTTAGGGATCCCAAGCTAGAATTTATTTTTCTAGGAGATCTAGTTAATGAGTTTTCTTAATGCATCAAATTTTAGTTTGCTGTATATGGTGATAGACAGCGCCAGCTGACTTTTGCAAGATAGTGGTAAAAACATGAAATATATCATGTATTTTCTTTAAATGAGTTGGTTTCCAGGGGATTTTTACTTGCACACGGGAGTGTTCGAGAATATCCAAAAGTTCAGGAGACTCCTGTGTCTGGCAAGAGACTTAAGGACCCTATGATGTACTGCTTTATACATTCAATTAGGTTCACAACAACTTTTCACAGCATCATAAACCATATATAAATATAAAGTTTTTCGGTTGCTGCCCCATAGCCCTGGAGTGAACTGCATATTTTTTCGTAGCATGAATTCCCTGGTTACTTGAACACCCTGCCTAAAATTAGAATTTTTTATTAGAAGGCACAAGCAGTCCCAATAATATTTATAGTGCATGAGATGCAAGTGTTAAGGGCCCGCTTTTAATAATAATAATAATAATAATAATAATAAGATATATAATAGGAATAATTATACATTTTTAATTGAAACAATGTTGTAATAGCAAAATTTCCAAAACAGTTACAATCTATTTAGTAGTTTTTTTTTACACAAATTTAAATACTTCAAATATTTCTATACATTTTTATAGTTATACAGTTGTCTAACAAAGTCTAAAAATGTTAAAAATTATTGCATGTAGAAACAAATGCAAACAATTTAGTGAAATTGTTCATAGCCATAAGATTTGATCTAGGTGAAATTTGTAATCCTTTTGAGATTGATGATAAAACGAAACTGTCTGACATATAGATCTGATAAAACAAATTGATATAGCTTATAATCTGACATTAAATATCGCAACATTACAAAATGCTGTCTGAATAATCATGTCATTCAATTCAGATATCATAACTAGTTTATTTTATTTATTTATTTATTAATGAATCATAAGTACCAAGCCAGAAAAACATGTCTCCCCCATTTTTAATACAGGAATTGTGATAGTTGCTAATGCCCAGCAGAATACACTTTAAAGGCCTGTTTACACTGTCGCAATAACGATCAACAATAAAAATCATAATAGTGGAAACGATTTTATCGTTTTCCCATGATTTATTTTATCGTATATGTATATAAAACGTTATCGAATCGTGCTAGTGTGAAAACTTCTTATTTCTTTTATTTTCTATATAAACAATTGCTTTTTATTTTTATCATTGATTATTATGATCATAGTGTAAATGGCATAGTTAAGCTTGGTTTCCATACAATCGCTACACACTATGGCTGACAGAGCTTTCGGTGATACTGATTGGTCGGTTCAGTGCAACTATTGCACTGAAAACGCTGTAGCGACAGTGTAGCGATTTTAAAGCAACCAGGCTTTATATATTTACTGATCTATCATCAATATGTCTTTTTTTACATCTTTTATCTGTTAATTAAGCACTTCCATTAGATAGTTTTTATGTATATTGGCAACAGTTCAATTCATACATTTATCCAACTTGTTGAAAAGATGCGATTTTAGAAATCATTAAGTTTGACACAAAACGCAAGCCACGATTTTAGAATTGCTATGATATTAATAAAAGATATGACATTCAAAATACCTACTGATTATCTGCCTAATGAACCATGCGTAAGAAGGTTTTTGATTCATTATTAAATTATGGAAATATGGAAGGAAATACTTAACATTTTTAATTCTTTTGTTCTCTTTGTTTTCATGTCAGTATTTTTTTTTTTACATTTTTTTTTCACATACAGTAGCTTCCTTATAAACATACTATAATAGTTTTGATCTTGAAAGCAATTTAAAGACTTGTCCAGACTATCAAATTAAATTTGATTGGACAAAAATGTGACATGCCTAAATATGGTCATGATGACATCACACCATGACCATATATAGACACACTATGACTATATATGTGCATATAACAGGGTTTTTTTTTCAATTTTGATGAAAATTTGATGTGGTCAGAACTTAATGTATTTAAAATTTTCTTTGTACTTATGTTGGCATTGAGCTAATATACATGAACCATTAAATTCAAATATCAAAAAAAAAAACAAAAAAAAACAAAAAATGAAGAAGATTCAATATTCAAAATTTTACTTTGTATATTTTCTTATTAACTGATAATTGAAAATCTGAAAGAGAAAATGGTTTCACCCAATTAATAGAAACATACTTGTTTGCAAAATGGCTGATGGAAGAATTCTCGTAAAACTATATTGATTTGAATGTCTCTCGTTGGAACTTACTTTAATTCTTATAAGTGAACAAGTCTTTGTTTTAATTTATGTTTGGAGGTTTTTATCAAGTTCACTGTAAACTGGGGTTCAAACTTTATTTTTTGTGAATCAGGGAGGGGGTGCGATGTATAAGATTAATTTCAGAAATCATTAAATTCTAACATACAAATATGGAGAGGTAATGAATTCTAATTTACATTAAAACTTTTTTCAATTAAAATCTCACATTTAGTGGCATTGAGGAGAGGCAGACTCCAATTATTATATGCTGACTTTTCTCAAAGAAAATCATTAGATTCTTAAAAGAATCAAATAAATCATATGTCGCTGCTGATTTACAGAATTTTTATATTAATCAGTCAGATTAAGTGTCTATACGACAAATAGAGGAGTGCGACGATGGTTACAATACGTGATTGAATATAAGATATATACAACGCAACATTTTATATATCTTTATGATAAGACAAGATTAGTTTGTTTGTTCAATTTATATCAAAACATAAATTGAAACTTTTTATTTAATTCATTGCCACAGAAATAACAAAAAGGCACAAAGAAAACAAAACCACACCACGTGTGTACGGTACACTTTTGCATGTGTCCTAAAAAGTAAATCCAAATGCACAGATGTATGTTATATGTACATTGTCCATTCATTTATCTAAGAGTTTGGCTAATAAATTTGTTATTATAACTTCACAGCAGGTTATTTGCCTGATTTGTACTGCTCACATATAAATAGGAAGAAGAAATCCTTAGACAGGAATATGTATGTTTTTTGAGCAAAAAAAAAAATTAATGTGGTGTATATTTTATATTTCATCAGATCATCATCATCATCATCATCATCATAATCATCATCATCATCACCACCACCACCATCTTCACTGTTAAGGCCTGTTTATACTTGCAACGATAATGATAAAAAGCTATTGTTCATATAGAATATAAAAGAATAACAGAAGTTTTTGCACTAGGACAATTTGATAACGATTTATAAACTATTTTGATAAATCAGTTCAAATTACATCATAATCTTGGAAAACAATAAAATCGTAGTAATAACAACGACTTTATCGTTGTTAGTACTACGACTGCAACAATTTAATTGCTTTCCAAGATTATGACGTCATTTGAATCGATTTGTCAAAATAGTTTATCGTATACAGTACACGATAAATCATCATCATCACTATATTGTCATCACCACCATCATCATTATTATCGTCATTATTTTCCCCATCAAGATCATCATAATCGTGTTTATTTTATGAGATATTTGCATAATGTTTACTGAGTTTTGCCTCAGTGGAATGAGAAGAAGCCCAAACATAAATAGTGAAGTTAAAAAATGACTAGAACATAGGAAGAAGAAATCCGTTGACAGAAATATGTATGTTTGTAATTTTGAGCAAATAATGTGATGTATATTTTACTTTTTATCAGATACAATGGCTTTATCCTTATTAGTGGTATCATCATCATCATCATTGTTATCATCATAAGCATTATCATCAATATTACTTTATGACATTTGCACCTTTTTCATCATGACCATCACCATTACGCTTATCTTCATCTTCAGCCCTATTGACTGGGGCGAAAGCTTGTGAAATAAAATCTACTATTCTGCTACCTACTCATTTTATCATCTTCATTGTTACCATCATCCTAAGATATCATTTTCATCATCATTATTGTCATCATCAGCACTATATTAATTGTTATCATCGCCATCACCATTACTTTGTACATTGTTTCGGTCATCATCATAATGGTTACCTTCGTCATCAATTTTTTTGTCACAGACACGTGTGCATCAACTGCCTATCTGTGATAAGCTTATGAACATAATTTATGTTTAGTAGACGCTGGAAGAGCTTACTTTGCAGGGAGAGCGAGCGGGAAAAAAACGGAGTCGGTGGTGAGTCCTTGTAGCTCAAATCAAACCCTAGATTTTAAAAAATCAAATAGTTCGGAAACACAACTGTTCCTTGCGGAGCCTGACATGGAGCGGGTGACACTTGATGGGTTTTCCTGAATGTTATCTTCAACATATGTTGGAACAATCGCTTGATTGAATTATCACTTTCATGGTTGCGTGCAAATCAGTGTGCTATTGTTATTGTTGTGTATACGTGTACTACGCGTAACATATGAGAATGAATCACTAAAAACAAAACTCGCAAGCAATATTAAGTTATAAATAATAGTATTTTGGCCTCATTACTTGCACATATGCTGCGCTGCGAGATTTTTTTTGGTGACAAAGCTGTCGGCTAATGGGCAAGTGTGAATTGGTTACCAACTTGTTGTCACTTATAAAATACTTTTGAAAGTTGGAAATAGAATAACACTGAACAGGGACATTGCCAATGTCACCAACTTGATGGATATAAGACATCAACAGTATGTTTTTAATGAATAAAAAAAATAGGGACAACATTTAAGTATGAAATAGAAGATAACTTTGTATAGGTCCTTGACTTTGAATTCCAAGATTACAATCAGAAGAATTGGTTTTAAGCCAGGCACTCACTTGGTCTGATAGTTGTAGGCCTACGCGATTCTATGGCGAATGCTAAGACACATGCGCAACGTATCGTTTTTAAGGATGAACAGCTCAGACTGCCACTGGCAATCAGCAGAGGGCATCACGCCATCCTGCGCTCACGGAGTGGAATTTGATCCGCTGTGCGGGGGTTTTATGACACAGTGAATGCTCTGCTTTATTATACCACTCTCCAATAAAATATTGGTGTGTGTGTGTGGAATATAAATGATTTTATTTATAATACCTATGCAACAGGACACCAAGTTTTGTATTTGATGTCCCTCCTGCAGAATAACTTTTTTTTTTATAGAACTGCATACATACGTTTTTCTGCAGTACAATGGCCATTTTCAGTGTAACAAATGCCTACAAGCAAAATTCTAGTATACATAGGAGACAAATGCACTGAATTTTTATGATGAACTGTGCATATGGAAGAAAAGCATGAATAAAGATAATAATAATAATAATAATAATGAACAATAATAGTAATAATAATGTACACTTAGTGCATTTCACAGGGCCTCTATGTGTTTTACATCAAATTATAAGAAACAAAAGCATGATGACTGTAAAAGAGGAAAGAAATAAAAATGAAACAAAATGAAGAAATAAATAGGAGAAACTATTAGATGGAGCATTTAAGTTAAAGGAATTGTACCATATACAGAAAAAGAAATGTATGAATAAAGATGAGGGAATGAATCAGAATGAAAGAGTTAAATGTACATGTTATAAAAAAAAATGTCTTTTGGCCTTCTTATCTGCACATATGCTGGGAGAATTTTTTTGGTGACAAAGCTATTTTGTTAATGAGTATTAGTGTGAAGTGATTACACAATTGTTATCACTTCAAAAATACTTGGAAATTGAATAACACTGTACAGGGACATTGTCAGTGTCACCTGGTGGATGTAGGACATCAATGGTTTTTTTTATGGATAAAAAGGGGACAGAACTAGAAATTAGAGTTTGAAATAGAAAATAACTATGTATCACTTCATGACTTTGAATCCCAAAATTCTATTTAATTTCCTTTCGTTTAAATCTTAATTGTATTATAATATTTTGTTCTAATTTTTTTAATGCTTGGTATGGTTAAGGTTCCTCCTGCCAATTGTTTGTCTAGGAAGATTTTTATATTTCTATGGAGGACATAAATGTATTACTTTTATATTAGAATTGTTTAGTAATTATTCTATCATGTACATTTAAATATAGAGATATTATTTTTATAAAATAATTGTTATTCCAAAATATGCCGAAAAGCCATTAAAACCCTTTCAAGACAAAAATATATATACCAAATAAAAATAAAATAAAAATAAAAATAAAATAAAAATAAAAATATATATACCTATCAATCTCTAGTATATTTATGTCACTGGTTACTATTCAAAAACGATCTTGTTTCATTATGTACCTTAAAGTTACAAAAAGAAGTAAACAAAAATTATAAATAAAATTGATTTTTTTTTTGCCCCTAATATTTCAAGTCTTTCAGTTTGACAAACAACAGGAAATTGTGAAATCTAATGATAAAGTTTTATTGCACTAAAAATAAAAGAATTATTACTGCATACATATCGAGGAGTGGGTAAATATCATTTAGGGTTTATGTGTAAACCAATGGAAAACATGGCAAATCATCAAAATAGACAAGGCCTTATAGCAGAGTTGAGACTGATAGATTCAGTACAAGTGGGAACATGATGAGTAGTAGATATACCGTAGTAGCAAGTTTTATTGAAATAGGCTTAGCTGCACTAGTCCAAGTACTGTACCATAATTGATTGAAATACAGAGTATCTTTATCACATGCTTTCAAACATGTAGTAACTGTCTTGGGATGTTAGTCGAAATCTAAGTGGATAAATATAAATATATATATTAATTACAGGGGCAGATCCAGAATTTTTTTAAACGGGAGGCGGCACAACATTTTTTAGAATAGATAAGTGAGTACTCAAAACATAACATTGATTTGCATTGACATTTTAAAATTTAGTGGGACATCCCACCTCCATTCCCCCTACTGGATCTGCGTCTGCTACTTATATATTTATTAATATACATTTTTATTCATATCTTTTCTATATATAAAACGTATATAATTTACAAAGCACATAATGAGGTGGGAAACAGACATAACTAGTAGAACTTGAAATTACTTAGTTGTTGGCAAACCATATAAAAATTTGCTACAGTAAACAGTACTAATTTTTAAAAAATGGTCTATATAGAAAACAACAAAACATTAATCTGATTTGTTGCCTCTCTGTGCCAACCTGCTTGGCCCTCTTTCTGGTCTTTGTTTTACATGCATATTGCAAGATTGACTGGCCATTCAGAATAAACAATTTTACGACCATTTTAACTAGTATTATTTTTTATTTACGATAAAATAAGCTCACATGTGTCAAGATATGTATATTCAATATATTTATTACAATATATAAGATGTAGATATGAATATATTGAAAGATAAACATTTCGGTTTGTAGATAGTGTCTGTGGGTACAATGCAGAATTTAAAATGAAAGGGGTTGATCCAGAGATGTCTGAAGGGGGGGGGGGGAGGCTGATAATAAAGCTGATCGAGACGACACTACACCAGCAGGCCCATGGCCATGCCCCCGCAATATTTTTGTTGTTTGGATGCACGAAGAGGCGTTTTAGGCTATCAATTTTTTTCTTTTTCTTTCTTGCATTTTCCCCCATTTTTTTTAACTTTCCAAAAGGAAGAGCGGTACCAGCCCGCCCTCCCCCCCCCCCCCCCCAACCCCCCC